AAAGGCCTTGATTATTCGCCCCATCTGCGCCCTTCATAATTTCATAAACTTCAACAAGGTCACCCCTCAGCCTCCGACACTCCAGGGGAAATAGCCCCATCCTATTCAGCCTCTTCCCTGTAGCTCAAACCCTGCAACCCTTTCTGAACCCTATACTTTTCTGTGTATGAAGTGGATTAATACGTACAGAAATGGTTTAAGTTGGACAAAATGTTTTTTCTTAATTCATTCATAGGATGTGGATATTACTGACCAGGCCCGAATTTATTTTCCATCCCTAATTGCCCAGAAGTCGGTTGAGAGTCAACAACATTGCTGTGTGTCTGGCGTTGCATGTAGGCCAAACTGGGTAAGGATGACAGATATCCTTCCCTAAATGACATTAGTGCACAAGATGGATCTTTCCCGTCAATCAGCAGCAACAATGGTCGTCATTAGACTCTTAATCCCAGATTTTTATTGAGTCCAGGTCCCCAGAACATCACGTGGGTCTGTGAATTAATAGTCCCATGAGAATACCACTAGGCCATCACATCCTCTGGAGGTTTAATTAAGTTATATTTTTTACAACAATATAATCCCAACAACTCATTGGATTTTTTGAGAGAAATGTTGTAGTTTAGGAATCCTTACTAACAAAAAAAAGTAAACTATATAAGTAAATTGATAGTGATGTCTGTGTAATTATGAAGTCATTGCCATTCTGACAGCATGGTGATATTACATCATTCTGATAACGTAGCAAGAAATCTTCACTAACCTGGAGTTCTGCCTGTGGCTGAGAATCCCATAATGTGTGCTCCTTTACTCTAATATTAATTGAAATGTGTTGTGTAGAAAGGGAAGCATAATAAAAAAGGGAAAATCTCCCTTGTAGAGGTAAATTCTCTGGGAAGTGAGGAACAACTGTTTCAATTTGTAAATAACAAAATAGAAGCTACAGGTGTAATACTTATTACAGATGACATATAGTGCCAAACATTTATCTACTAAATAATACAAGACACATCCTCTAAGCATAATACTGTTCTCAGATTCGTTGAAAATCTGCATGATATCCAGAAAAACCGAAAGAACTGTGGATACTGGAAATCAGAAACAAAAACAGAAATTGCTGGAGAAGCTCTGTGGAAAGAAATAAGTGTTAATGTTTTGGGTCCAGTGACACTTCCTCAGACTGATGGTAGCTAGGAAAATTTTTTAAATGCAGAAGATAGGGTTGAGAAAGGGGGTAAGGAGTAAACGATAGGTGGAGATAGAGCTCAAAGAGAAAGAAGAACAGTTGGACAGACAAAGGATAACTACCAGGCTAGGAGAATGAATAGCTATTAATGGGGACAATTAGTGGCTAACAATGGGTTGTGTGTAATAGCAGACTGTATAATACAAAGACAAGGTGTATGGATGTTGAGTAAAGACATGGAAGAAGGTACCTCTGGACATAAAATTGTTGAACTTGATATTGAAGGCTGTAGACTCCCTAAGCAGAAAATGAAGTGCTGTTCTTCCAGCTTGCGCTGAGACAGAAAGAAGGCGGTGTATTGAAATGGCAGGCAACTGGAAGCTCAGGGTCTTTTTTTGCGGACAGGACATATCCATGTTGCGATATCTGTTGTTAATCAGATTCCAATCTCAACTGGACTTTCAGCTAATGTACAATGTTCTGCCCCAGCTTTCAAGAAATAATCAGAGGGTGAGACAATTTATTACAGATAGGGAGCAAAACTGTCAGGCAGCTGGGATGGAATTCTTTAGCAATACTTATATGTATAGAATGGAGTGAGTAATGGCAGAAGATTTGTTTTATTCATGTGCTATGGATGTTGCTGCCTTAGCCATCATTTATTGCCTATTCCCGATAACTTTTGAGAAGGTGATTGTGAGCCACCTCTTGAATCATTGCAGGCCATGGGTTAGTAGGCTCGTGGTACTTTTAGGATGGTAGTTCCAGGAGTTTAGCCCAGTGAGACGGAAGGATGTGGATAGAGTTCCAAATCAGGATGCTGATTGGCTTGGAGGGAATTTGCAAATGGTGGTGTTCCCACGTATGTGCTGCTTTTGCCTTTCTAGGTGTATAATTCGAAGGTTTAGAAGAGGGGCTTGACAAGTTTCTTGGTGAGTCACTGAGTTACTCTTATAGATGGAATACAGTACTGCCATTCTGTGTCAGTGCTGGTAAGTATGAATATTGAAGATGGTGAATGCCTATTAAGCAGTGTGCATTCTTTTCAGTGGGGTTGAACTCCTTGTGTGTTATTGGAGCTGCATTCATCCAGGCAAGTAGAGTATATTCCATCCTGCTCCTGAATTGTACCTTGTAAATGATGGACAGACTTTGGTGACTAAGGAGGTGAGTTACTTGCCCCAGAAATTCTAGCCTCTCATGTAGTCTTATGATTGCAGTATTTATATGGCTGCAACAGTTCAGTTTCTAGTTAACAGTTACCCCAAGATGTTGATAGTAGGAGATTAAGCAATGATCATGCCATTGTACATCAAGGGAAGATATTTGGAAATTGTCAGTGCCTAGCTCTTGCATAGTATGAATTTTATTTGCTACTTCTTACCCCAAGCCTGAGTACTGTCCAGGTCTTGCTGCAGAGAGATCTGCACTGCTTCAATATTGAGGAGTTGAGTGTTGCTGAACATCACACAATCATCAGCAAACATCCCCACCTCCAACATTATGATCATGAAGTCATTAATGATGATTGGTCTTAGAACATTACCCTGAAGAACTTCCATCTAGAAACACAATGGCAGGAGATACTTGCAAAATCCACCACCTGTAAGTTCCCCTCCAAGCCACCCACAACACTGACTTGGAAATGGATCATGATTCCTTGACTGTCTCTGGGTCAAATTTCTGGAGTTCCCTCCTTAACAGCATTGTGGGTCTACTTATAGCAAATGGACTGCAGTGGTTCAAGAAGGCATCTCTCCATCACCTTCTCAAACAATTAGCAATGGACATAAATTATGGCCCAGTCAACAAAGACAAAATCCACTAAATAAATAATGATTTTGTAAAAAGCCTGTTATGGATCAATAGATGAATTAATGATCCAAAGATAATATAAAATTGAAAATAATTTATATTTTTTTATTTTCAACTAATTCTTTTAGAGAATGAACAATTTTAGTCAAATTAAACAAACATAAATTGAAATTATATTAAACTACTAGCTATAATTTGTTTTTTTAATGAATCTCGTGAGTATCAGCTACACATTAAGAAAAGAATTCTATCATACCTGCCTTCACTGTGTACTATCACTGTTCAACCATAAACTCTGAATGGATCTTTACACTCGGCAACTCCATGAAAGCAAACTAAAAACATGTAAAATGCTGCGTAATGTTACCTCTTTTCCCACTTTGTACATAGTCTTACATAGTAAAATAACTCCAGTAAAAATATAATTTTAAAAATATTGTAGCAGATTTTCCGTTTACCAGACAGTCATTTTACAAGCGTAAATGGGAGTTGCACCTGGAGATCCTGAGGAACTTCCATTGTAGCACTCCAAAGGAATTGCCCGGGAAAATGAAGATTTTGTTGGGAAATTCCTCTATGCTTGGAATCTTTTGAACATCTCTATAAAAACTGGGGACTTCAGAGTGTTCTGATGAAATGAAGTCAACAGGAAAATCTGGACAATTGAAATACATAGTCTGACTGCTGAGTAACCATCAAACAGGCCTTGTAGTTCCCTGACACACAACCCCCAGACCCCTGACCTAAACAGAACGTCCTCTCTGAAATGCAAAGCTCCCCTATTTCATAAAAAGGGGCTCGCGTGGCAATGTGTGTGGAATTGCCACTCACTAAAAACTCTGGCCCAATTTATCATGGGGAGATGATTTTAGTGAAATTGTTCTTTTCATAGACATTTATGGCTTCATTGCAATTACACAGCAGGGAAATTTCTCACACAGGAATTTAGAAGCAAAAAAACTATTACTCTCTCGCATTCCGAGTGAGTGGCACTGAAAACTCCATCATTGCTGCTTTGGAACTAACTACTTGAGTGCATGAAAGATGATTTACTTGTCCATATTTATTTATTTTCTTGCTTCTTTCTATTGTTTGTGAAAATAACCAGGCTTTGCTCATCCTTTTGAGTTTCCACATAGTCAACTAAAGGATTCACCTTACAAATAGCAGCATCATCTGAAAATATCTCCACATTTAATTCCTCTGATGAATGTTTCAAGCATCAAGTTGAAAACTTGATTTACCTTTTCATTTGGCATACTGGATGGCTTTTTGTTCAGTTCTAACATTTTCAGTCTTTCTTCTGGATTTCCATGTTTGCAGATCTTTTTGTAGAATGTCATACTTAGCCTCTTTAGATTTAAAAAATTTTCAAGCTCATTAATATCAAACCAATCAGGCATTACTTTCCTTTTGTATCAAAGGATTGTGTGCTATTGTTTTAAAATGCACACACTATTAATGTATTCAAACAGAAAATACTAAGGTTATAAAAGTATTTTCACTGCATAGCACAAGCTCACTGATGCATTCATATTATATGGCGTGATAATGCCTTTGTTTTAGTTTTTCCCTGAGTAATCTCTATGTACAGAAATATCAGTACTCCTTCAATTCTGACTTCTATTCTGACTTTTCCTACTATAATTGCACCACTATCAGTGGCTGTCAGAGGGTGTAAAATTGAATTCACTTGTGTACATTGTTCTAACTTAGTATAAGTATAAAAATTGAATAATCTCAACAGGCAAATGACCACTGAGCGAAAGGAACGCTGGGGGTTGAGGGGAGAAATTGTATTTAGGAAGGTACAGACTTAATATACGATATGACATTACTTTGCATGTGGCACTGAACTGTCTGCATTGAAATCTGTGTAATTACAGAGAAAAAATGTCTAAATCACCAATTTGTGATATCAGTATTTAATTCTTGTGATGTGTTGAATATTATGTCATATAATGTCTTTAATGTGCTAACATTATTTTATGTTTTTGGACAGTGTATCAGTTACAGCAGGAAGCCCCACGTCCGAAGAGAATTATCTGTCCTCGAGAGGTCAGTTGAAATTTGGACTTGAATAATGTGACAACACAGTTTGAGCTTTGTTTAGCATTGGATGTTTTCACCATTACTATTGATACAGAAGAAAGTTCCTAGCTTATGGTGTGACCACCAGTATGGTGAAATGATATATTATTTTGCCATGTTGCAATGTTGACACCTGAAAATAATTTTCAGAATCAGTGACACAATGAATGTAGTGTAGTAAACCAATAAGTGCTTGCCTTAGCACTTCACTGTTCATCCTTTGAAGTTTATAATAGTGTAAAATAGTTTCATTAATAATCTCCCCAAGAATAATTTTAAACCGGTATGATTCTCATTAAGTTGAATATCATGTGACAAGTTTGATGTTGGTAAAGTCAGCTACTTGAATTATCATACTTGCTTTTTTGGCATAATTTTCAATCCAAATTACTTTATAGACTCAGTGCTGTGTTAATGTTTAAATAGCTATTTTAATGGCTACTCTTTAGTTTCATTGGTTTGTTAATGATGTGGAACTGTACCGAATTACAATAGAATTCCTTCAGAAGTGTTATCGTTTCTAGGTGCATCCATTTGTTGAATGGATTAACATGAATTTTGTAAAATTACAAAACAGAAAATAAAAATATTCACAAATTTTCACAGAAAAACATCTTCTGTTTCATGACTTTTAATAAGGCCCTATTCATTAACAGGTATAGCTGTTATCTTGTCATCGAGATCTTTGTCTTCTTGACATTCAACTGAATCAATGCAAATTTACAAGGCTTTGCTGGTGGCTCAGGCTGTGAATTTTGATGTATAAATTTGCACAGCATTTCACAGTGCAACTTACTTGGAATATTGAAATTGTGTAAATTGGCTTTTGTGCTTTATTTCACTAGCTCTGTTCCTTGATTCATACTTTACCGATATAAAATGAGTTTGCAGTTATTGTTCTTCTAAATAATTATTATACAATAATGGATTTTTGTTGCAGGCTTCTAAAAATTGATTTTTATTTTGATAAAATGTTCTACAATTCTGTCTGTCTCGCATGAATATTTTTTGCTGGAACTTGTTAAATGAATATTTTGCAGAGGGCTAACTTTTGCTTGCTAACAGTTGGCCAGATGTTCATTTGCTTGCAGTAAAATACTAAGGATAGAAAATCCTTTTGGGGGTTTCAGTAGAAGCATGTTTGAAACACTACAACCTGTATTCTGTCTCATTTGCTCCTCACATACCTCCTTGGGAGTTACACTGGGTCCCTCTTCACATTGAATTTAAAATCCTGATTTCCACTTACAAATCCCACCATGATTTCAAGCTGTCCAACCTCTGCAATATCTTCTCCTTTCTATTACTTTACTGCCATTTAAAACACAACTGAAACCTTTACATAACAGTGTGGAGCTGGAGGAACACAGCAGGCCAGACAGCATCAGAGGAGCAGGAAAGCTGATGTTTCTGGTTGGGACCCTTCTTCAGAAACGGGGGAGGGGTAAGAGGGAAGGGGGAAGGGGACTCTGAAATAAATAGAGGGGGGGGGTTGGGCTGGGGAATGTAGGTGGGATGATGATAGGTAAGTGCAGGTAGGTAGTGGTGGGGATTGGTCTGTGAGGTGGGAGGACCGGATAAGTGGGAGAGAAGACGGACAGATCAAGGATGCAGTGATAATCCCACTTCCTACAGACAAAGGGGGTGGCCATGGGAACCCGCATGGGCCCAAGCTATGCCTGCCTCTTCGTAGGATACATGGAACAGCCCCTCTTCTGCGGCTACACTGGCCCTAAACCCCACCTCTTCCTCTGCTACATCGATGGTTGTATCGGCGCCGCCTCATGCTCCCACGAGGAGCTTGAACAGTTCACCAACTTTACTAACAACTTTCACCCCAACCTCAAGTTCACCTGGACCATCTCTGATACCTCTCTCTCCTTCCTGGACACCTCTGTCTCCATCTCTGGTGACCACCTTGAAATTGATATCTATTTCAAGCCCACTGACTCCCACAGCTACCTAGACAACACCTCCTATTACCCACCTTCCTGCAAGAATGCGATCCCCTAGTCCCAATTCCTCCGCCTCCACCGCATCTGCTCCCAAGATGCATTCCACTCCCGAACATCCCAGATGTCCTCATATTTCAAGGACTGCAACTTTCCCCACCTCAGTGGTCGAAAACGCCCTCCACCGCATGTCTTGTGTTTCCCGCACCTCAGCCCTCACACTCACTCCTCGCAATAACAGCAAAGACAGAATTCCCAGTGTCCTCACGTATCACCCCACTAACCTCCGGATTCAACGCATTATTCTCCGCCACTTCTGTCACCTGCAATCTGACCCCACTACGAAGGATATATTTCCCTCCCCACCCCACCTGCCTTCTGTAGGGACCGCTCTCTCCGCGACTCCCTCGTCCACTGCACACTGCCCACTAGCCCCACTAGCCCCACTAGCCCCACCACCCCCAGCACCTTTCCCTGCAACCACAGGAAGTGCTACACCTGCCCCTACACCTCCCCCCTCACCTCCATCCCAGGCCCCAAAAAAACCTTCCATATCAGACAGATGTTCACCTGCACATCTGCTAATGTGGTCTATTGTATCCGCAGTTCCTGATGTGGCCTCCTCTACATTGGTGTAACCAAGCGGAGGCTCGGAGACCGCTTTGTGGAGCACCTCTGCTCAGTTTGTGACAAACGACAACACCTTCTAGTCGTGAACCACTTCAGTTCCCCCTCCCACTCCCTAGATGACATGTCCATCCTGGGCCTCCTCCAGTGTCACAACGATGCCACCCAGAAACTGGAGGAGCGGCATCTCATATTCTGCCTCGGGAGCCTACAACCCAATGGTCTGAATATGGAATTTTTTAGCTTCAAAATCTCCCCAACCCCGGCCTTATCCCATGAACAACCCTCCCTCTCATCTCCGCCTCCTTGACCTGTCCATCTTCTCTCCCACCTATCCGTTCCTCCCACCTCACTGACGAATCCCCACTACTGCCTATCTGCACTCACCTATCACCATCCCACCTACATTCCCCAACCCGATCCCCGCTCTCTATTTATTTCAGAGCGCCCTTCACCCTCCCCCATTTCTGAAGGTGGGTCCCGACAAGAAACGTCAGCTTTCCTGCTCCTTTGATGCTGTCTGGCCTCCTGTGTTCCTCCAGCTCCATATTGTGTTATCTCAGACTCCAGCATCGGCAGTTCTTACTACCTCTGAAACCTTTACATGCTCCCTCCCTTCATCTCATCATTAATGGAAGAGCCGTCGCTCACCATTGAAATTACTTTTTTGCAAAGTTCAGTTTAAGCACTTTGTCTTCACTACCCAACTCCCATCCCCCCTCACACTCACCCCAGTCCCTCTGATTTCTTTTGTTTCCACTTCTAAAAACCTGACTTTAATCACTTTTAAAGCCCTAAATTTAACCAATCCTTTGTTATCTATCTTAACTCTGACACAGTTGCTTGATGTGCTATTTTTTCTTTACCAACATGTCAGTCAGCAGAGGGTGATGTGTGTATGGAATGAGCTGCCAGAGGAAGTAGTGGACGATGGTACAATTATAACATTTCAAAGGCATCCTGATGGGTACATGAATAGGAAGGGCTTAGAGGAATATGGGCCAAATGCTGGCAAATGGGACTAGATTAATTTAGGATATATGGTTGGCATAGACGAGTTGGACCAAAGGATCTATTTCTGTGCTGTACAATTCTATGACTTTATGACATATTTTGTTCTTTCCATTCTGTCCTTTCATCCCCACTTAAAAGGTTTCTTTTGGGATATTTTACACATTAAATGTACCATGTACAAACAAGTTGTTGCATGTCGAATTTAAAATACAATAAAAAGAAAAGAAATTCCCAATTTCATAGAATCATACAGCATACTAAAGGCCCATAAAGTCTGTGCTGACAAAAACTACTCTAAATCTACACTAGTCCCACTTTCCGGCACTTGTCTATGACATTTCACGTGTTTATTTAAGTACCTTTTAAAGGTTGTGAAGTTTTCCACCTCAACGATCCTCGTCGTCAGTGAATTTCTGATCCTCACCACCCTCTGGCTAAATTTTGTCTTTCAAATCCCCTCTAAATGTCCTGCATTTTACCTTTAAAATTATGCCCTCTAGTTATTGACCCTTTAACTAAGAGGAACAGCTGCTTTCTAACCACCCTGTCCAAGTCCCTTATAATTTTATATACTTCAATCAGACTCTCTCTCGGGCTTCTCTGCTTCAAAGAAAAATACCCAAGCCTATCCAGCTTCTCTTCAAAGCTAAACTGCTCCATCCTCTGCAACACTTTGAAGCTTTTCTGTACTCCCACTAGTGCATCAGTTCATATACTAGTGATTATAAACAAGTATCCCTCAGAACTGTGATTCAAATGGTGTCGAGTATAACAATTTCTGGTGTTATCCCTATAGTTACTTTATTATGCAATTGTTTGATAGAAATATCTATGGCAGTTGCCATCTAGTGGACTTTTCATAACATTACACCTGGACTTCCTGGTGCAAGAATCCAGGGAGTATTTCAGAACAACAAGGTGCAGGGCTGGATGAACACAGCAGGCCAAGCAGCATCAACTGATCTTCTAACATTTATTTACATTTCTAGTTTCAAAATTTATCAGTGACATTTGGTAACTGTATAAAAAGGAAATGTATAAAAAGGTTGTTTAATTTTGTAGGAGAGATTGAACTCCTAAAGTTGTACAATATAGAAATCCATTAAATTATTAATTAACCTTTTAACTTTTTGAAATTTGAATAGCTATGAATGTAAAAGTTAATAGTTCTTCAACTAATCTTTATGAAGTTGAGCATTACCAACTGTCCAACTGCACTGGAAATAATCATCTGACACATTCAAATGTCCTTTCTAGTGTTGTGATAGTGGCTACTCTGGATACATACGTCTAGAATCACCATTTAGATCTGCTTGTCATTGCTTCCTTTCTGAGCCTGCTACCACCATCTTTCATCAAAGTCAGAAGTTAACTATTTATGCATTTCATTTGCTGTTTGATAGATTTTTGTGTGCATGAGTCGTTTGTATTTGCACATGTAACTCGGAACATAATTATCTTTTGTGGAGCACTTCAGGATATCCTAGGCAACTTGTTAAGATGATATACATACAACATAAGGATATACTTATGTATGTATATATTAATAAAAATGCAAATTATTTCTTATTTTCAGAATCTAGTGATCTGGGTAACATTTGGTTGGTAACAAAATTCATACATGTAAATGAATTAATAATGTATGAGGTGAATCCAGAGCAATTAATTTAGCAACATATATTTAAAGCAAAGCCCACAGAAATGTCATATTCTCATGTAGCCCAAAGTGCTTTGTACAGGTCAATAAAAACTTGCATTAGTGTAGTGTATTTGAATGTCATAAACTGTGACAAGGTGCCTTACAAGATGAAAATTGTCAACAAGTCAAAGAAGGAGACATTGCCACAGATAACTAAAAGCTTGGAGAAAGGGGTAGGGTAAGTTTCAAGTGCATCTTAAAGAAAAAATGTCTTAAGCCAAGGATTTCCAAATTGTTGTGGCCTGGATCACCACCTGCATTTCATAGATGCAAAAGTGGGCATATAATTCCAGTTTGTCTAGTCTAGATCTGACTCCAAGACAGAGTACAGTATCAATCCAGGGCATTATTAAAATATGTTTGAAAATAAATCGTGGGTTTCTGCATTTTTCTAGCACTTAACTTGTGGTCTAAATATATATTGTAAGTACATAAAGTGGGGCCATCTTCCATATTAAAAAATGAAATTAGTGTTTGAAGATTGCTGTTGTCATTTGGCATTCACTTACAAAATGTGTATAATGTTTTGTCTTTGAAGTATTTTTGTAAGCATACAGTGTGTAAATTGTTCATGAGAATACCGCTGGCAGGTTAGGTAGCAGATTCCTTATTTATCTCAGATCACTTTCTCTTCAAAGGCTAATATAAGTATATGTTGCTAATAATTTTCTTTGGTTTACAGGTTGAAAACAGGCCAAAGTACTATGGAAGAGAGTACGTAAATCATTTTCATTTTTGTTCATATTTTAGACTGTTTTGCAAATAACAGAGCAAGAGGTATTGTAGATCATTGTTGTTGGAAAAGCAGTTATGCTGAAGAATGATGTATTTACATGGTTTATGCATCATTTTCTAATGTGGCTTATAGTGGGATTATGATGTGCATTCTTTATCAATACTGTGATGTAAAAAGCAATCTTGTACCATGGCACACCAGAAATAATTTTGATACCACATTGCAGCAGAGTACATTTCTATATGATAACACACAATAATGCCCCGATATCAGGAATGAATAAGAAAAACAGTGGTAAATCTGAGTGTTCCCTTTAAATTATATTGTAGCAGACACAAGAATATCTTCAGTTTTAGCTGTTATTTGATACAAACAACTTGTTTCTCAAATACCGTTCTCAAAGATCACTTATGACTGTTGTTTAATTGTCATCACAAAAGAGATGAATTCTCACAGATTTCTCCAAAATGGAAACCTATGCTTGTCAATTTCCTTGTATTGTCAAATTATTTAGGGAAAAAAGAACAATAACTTTGTCACTGCTTTAATAGCTACTGTCTTCTTTTGATTTCTATCATTTTATTTAGGGTTGCTGATTGATCACACTCCCCAGCTTGCGTCAGTTACCTATTCCTCTTCCAATCCTGTTCATCTGACATTACTGCCTCTCTGTATCTGGACTTAGACCTTCCTGCTCTTCTTTCTGGCATTTCCATCTTAATCACTCGCCTCACGATATTTCTCTTCCCTTTTTGGCAACGGTTGACCATATGATTTCAGACTTTTCCAGCTACTTCCTTCAATGTCCTCACAATCTTCACAGACCTCCTAAAGTGTAGTCTCTCATCTTGTCCTTTCTTGTTTGTCCACTTATGCATTTTCATTTTCACATATCATTAGTAACCATTATTTCTCTTTTCCTGAAGTTTCTGGACTATATAATAAGGTCACTCTCTCAACTGTTTTGTTGATTGTGCTTTTCAATTTTAGCAATATTTTTCTATTACATAAAGCCTCAGTGCACTTCTTTAAATTATTTCAATGGAGCTAAACTAGTCCTCCATTTCTGTTTCCACACTTCCATCCTCTGCAGTGTGTCCACTTACTTTCTTCAAGTAAGTATTAAACTGACCTTTTTATCTTCTTGGACTGTTTCCACCTCTTTAACAGTTCTATCTTTTCTTTTTATCATCCTTTGTGTTTTCATTCCGCCACCAAGGTTATGTTCCAGGCTTTTTTCTCCCTGCTAACATTCTCTCACTTTTCACCAGTTTTGCTAATCTAACCTATCACCAGTCTTTTGTGGTGCCTGTCATAACTTTTATTTCTCTTAACTATTTCACCATCTGATCTCTCGATTCCCTCTTCAGCTTATTGAGCTTCCATCAACTGATGTTCTGGCTACATCTTGTCCATCTCTGTTTTGTTTTTCTTGCAATCAGCTCTGTCATCAGTGCTCAATATTGGTACATAGCTACTGTAATGCGACTAAATTAATATAGAGAAATTATGTCTAAATGGTGTGACTTTTTTGTTACAGTATGATCAGTGGTGACTGGCAACTTAATTTAAATACTATACTTAACAATTAGCTAAGCATGTATAACTTTACCAGAGAATCAAATTTGGTGTCACTAAATTGTTTGCTGTAAAGGCCTGTTTAAGCACTAAATAACAGTTCAACTTCTCCCAGACAGAATTCCAAAGGCAGTTAGCTTTGCAAAGCAAAGTGTGATGACCAGTGACGTTAATGCAAGTTTGAGATTGCTTTTCCTCATCTTTTTATTTTAAAATCCTCCCTTTCTTCTTTCCATTCCAAACCTTGTGTTTTAGATGATTCACTTCGGTAGAGTTGGGGACATCCACAACTTCTCCTGGCCACAGATCAGACACATGTGACAGTTAACATTTTATTTATCACTGTTCTTTTTCTTTCAGCTAAGTGAAATGTTTGCAAATGCTATTCTAGTTGATGCCACAAAATAATTGAAAGTATAGTTTCTGTTCCTTTATACATGACTATTCATTTTTCTATAGATCAGGAATGAATGTTGCAAATTTGATAACTCTGTATTCAGGGTGGATTAGTATGAGCAAATAAAGTGCATCTGTATTTCTACAAATTTTTGCATGGCATTCTATTATCTGTAACTTGGGGTCGCACTATACCATTGTCCATCATCTGTTTTTATATAACTAACATTGAGCCTTGTAATTAGTTGATAGTAATTCAAGCTTGAAGGTTACCTTGTAGATTTTTATCACCCTGAGTAAAACTACAAACTGTAATAATGACCATTACTGCAATGCCACATTTTCAAATTTAAAAAATGATGTTTTTAGATCTCATTTTGTGTAGAGAATAAGTTCAAATTGAATTATTTGAATGAAATAACAATTGTGATTTGAGCATATATTTAGACAGATAATCATACATCTATTTATATAATAATCATTAGGATAAATTTCAGTAGTCAGTGGCATGGCCTGTTGTATTCTCTAAATACTTTTTAGACCTGAAAGATTATACATCTAATTAATCATCGAAACAGATAGCCGATCAGCATGGTTCCAACATGTAGATTATAGATCAAATTATCTTTTATTGACCATGTTTTGCTGTACTGTACTTTTGCTTTTTAATTATCAATAAAATTACAATTGGCAAAATTGATCTAAACAGGCAGATTTGTTACTTCTCAAGCAAGTGAAATATAGTGGTTTGCAGTTTAATTAGATCAAGTTTGGATTTATTGTAAAAATAATTTTTGGAAAATTGTTCAAGGACTTTTGGCTCTACAGAAAATGACTCAACAATATTCGTTCTAAGTTTGCAAACAAAATTACAAAGTGAAATGATTATATAGCTATCATGTTACATGTGTTACTGTGATCTCATCTCATGGGAGCCTATGGTAAAGTGGCATTAGTTGTTCCATTAAAGTTGTTCCATTACTGCACTTTTTGGAAATATGTTTGGCAGAGGGTTTTCTTTTTGTGCAGAACATCAATCTTGCCACAATTAACATTGTTTCCCCAGCTATTTGGTGGTACCTTAATTTCTTTGTCTCTTTTCTGATTTTTACAGTGTTTTCTTTTCTTAGGTTCCATGGGATGATATCACGAGAGCAAGCTGATGAACTACTTGGTGGCATTGAGGGAGCTTACCTCATCAGGGAGAGCCAACGTCAGCCTGGTAGCAACACATTGGCTCTGAGGTACATGCATGCTCCTGATCTCGATGAACTGAATAAATTATGTTGAACTTGGTTTTTTTTAAAATGTAACAAACATTAACCCTGTTTTTAATTTCAGGATTCATTTATCTAGAGTAAGAAAAATAGAAATCTGTTTCTATTTCAGACCATTCTCACTGTTGAATTGTGATTTTTACAGGAGCCCAACTGTCTTAAGTTTTTGGTGTTTCATTCCCTCCCTTTCAAAGTATCAATCAGGTCACCTTGACTCAGCTCTTTTATGCAGTAAGTCCCAGCAAAAGCACAAGATCACATATAGACAGTATGCAAAAAATAAACCATGCTCTACAATTTAAAATGAATTAAAGAATGTTCAGACCGTTTATAGCTCTAGATTAGACTATGGCCTTAAATCTTGTTTTGCTTGCACACTCAAAGGGAGTATAGAAACATGACAGAATTATGGTGTATATCAATTATGAGCCACTCTTCATAGGATAATAATATTAGAATTGTGCACCAGGGAAACAGAACTTTCAACTTTACTCGTCTGATGTTATTGTTGCAACTAGATTTTGTTAGTTCTTGTATTCCACACACCACACTGGACATATCCGATAGAGTTGGTTTCACCGTGGTCAACCCAATGCCTGACACAAGGAAATAAATTAATAAATGGCTAAATGCCTAAAATACAAATCCCATTATGTAAAATTTAAATTGAATTGAATAAATATGATAATGTATGACATGACATTAGGGCAAAATTATTGTTAAAGTTTCCATTTCATTATAAAAACCTAACTGGTTTGATAACTTCTACCTAGTCTACCCATGATTCCATCCCACCCTGGCTGTACTGTCTGCTGAGGTGACCTTGTAAAGTGATCAGTTGTGAGATGTCTGTTGCTAACAAATTATTTAAGGTATTGAAGAGGCTTGTTGTTAATTATACATGTGTCAGATTGGGGCAAGACTCTAGCAGTATTGGGACCATTGACCATGGACTGCCTCGTTCAATAAACTTTGCAGGCCTGCATCCAAATTGGCAGACTCCTCCCGTTACTAGTCAAGCAATATTTCAACATAGTTTTATTCAACTAACCAGATTCTTCATGACTGTTGTTGCCTATGTCCTATCCAAGATATACTCAGTAGCAGCAGAGACACTGGGTTGGACTATATAACAACCATGACCTTTGGAAGTATACAACTGTAATTCGGACCTCACGGAGCCTCATGGCTCAGGATAAAAGAAGTATCCTACTGACTACCAGCCACCTATTGATAAACCAATTCTCACTTATACTTTACACCAACTAGTAAGGGAAATTGTGTTTTTTTTTGACATATTTATTCATAGGATGTGGGTGTCCCAGGCAAGGCCAGAATTTCTTGCCCATTCCTTATTGAGTACTCCGTCACATACCTGACATCCCTAGTGCCTTGCAGACTGTGGAAATACTTGGAAAGTCAGAAAGTGAGTTAATTGCTGCAGAGTACCCGGCCTCAGGTCTGCTGTTGTATTCATAGTAAGGCTGGTTTCACTTCTGTTTCTGATCAATAGCAACTTGTTGATGGGAGATTTGGTCCTGCCAATGCTGATAAATATCAAAGGAAGATTGTCAGACCCTCTGTTAGAGATAGCCATCATTTGGTGCCTGCGTTGCATAAATCTGATTTGCCACATATCGTACTTAGCCTGAAAATTGTCCCGGGTTTGCTTCGTTGAGGATGGACTGTTCCATTATCTGAGATACTGTGAATGGAATTAGAAGCTATAAAAATGTTAGAAATGTCTGCTCTTTTGACCTTAGAGAGGAGTGGAAGTAATTAATAAAGCAATTGAACGTGCTTGAGCCCAGGACACTACGCTGAGGAAGGAGGGCTCTTGTGGTGCAGTAGTCATGTAACTATCCCTGAGACAAGAGGCCCCGGTTCACATCCCACCTGCTCCAGGGGTTTAGTAACATCTCTCAACAGTTAGAAATATCTACTGTCAGAAGCTAAGAAGGGTTCTTGTGATGCAGTGGCAATTTCCAAAATCTGGATCAGGAAGCCCGGGTTCAAGAGGTGTGTAATAACATCTCTGAGCAGTTGATGAGAAAATAGTGATGACGAGAAGCTGTTAGGTAAGAATCCAGCCAGTGGAAAGCTTTCCCCTGATTCACATTCATTTCAGTTCTATCTGGGCACCGTGATACCACATTGATCAATTGTTCCTTTGATATCAAAGGCAGCCACTCTTGTATCGCCATTGGAACTTACCTCAATTGTCTGTACTTGGGCTAAGGTTATAATGTGGTCTTTGCAAAACCCAACAAAACACCAATGAAGAGTTTACTGGTGATTAAATGTCACTCAGTAGCACTGTCATCACACCTCACACCATTTTTATGTTAAGTAAGTGTAGATTAATGGAGCAATAAATGGGGTCAGATAGAATTTGTACTGGACTGGAAGTACCTGAGCAATTTTCCACATTGTTGAATATTTGTCAGTTTAGCACATTTTCTGGACCAGCTTGGCTAGAGGCCTGGTTAGAGGCCTTGTTAGTTCTGAAGCATATGTCTTCAGCACTATTGTCAGAATGTTGTCAGTGCCCATTGCGTTTGATGGATCTAGTCTGAACAGCTTTTTTTTTGATATTATGGGGAGTGAATTAACTTAGTTGAAGACTGGCATTAGTGGTGGTGAGGACTCCAGAGGGAGACTGAGATGAATTATCCACTCCATGTTCTGGCTGAAGGTGGTTACAAGTGTTCCAAACTCGTCTTTTATGCACAGAGGATGAGCTCAAGCACTATTGGGCTTTTTAAAGTTCGTGGCACCTCCTCCTTTCTTTACTTGTCCTGTCCTGTTCACAATTGGACTGAAGCACTGTCGATCTTTCATCTGATCATTGTTTATGAGTGCAGTCTGAATGGAAGAGCTTAGTACCCAGCAGAAAGAGCAGCTTGTTTGTGCTATTGTGAACAAACTGGACAAGTCCTTGATACTTATCACTTTTCATAAGTTAGTGGCTTTCTGCTCACAAACCTACCTGATGCCGTCAGAGCTGGGAATTAATGTACTTAATGAAGTAACGTCTTCTGAAAGCAAATTTTTCTTTTCCCCCCACGGTGAGGGCTTTCTTACTCAGGTAATGTGTCTCACTGCCATGATCAATGAAATGGACTGAGAAGAAATATACCAACCCAAAAATGGGCATCAATAAAACACCATTATCCCTAAGCAGCAGTAGAATTGTACACCAACACAGTTTGTAACCACATTTCATGATGCATTCATCATTTCTCCATCATTATCAAGTTGGAAGATCATTGGGGAGTGCAGATGTACCAGAAACAGGCACAACTTAGCAAACCTACAATGCAAGGCTTTAGCTGGAGCTTAACAATTCTACAATTAGTAGATCAGGGCATTTAAACTGTAATAAGTACCTCGAAGTCTATGTATTATATATTATGCATTATATACCTAGCTTTCTAAGCCTGTTTGAGTAATTAAGGTGGTAAGCAGGAATCATGCTTGTGGCTCCCAATAGAACAGTTACTAAAGTCTGTCACCCAACACAGCAACAATTCGGTTAACTTAAAATGCCCCAAAACACTTGACTGGTGCATTATAAAATGAAATCTGGTCCCCAACCACATAAAGAAGTATTCAGTCAGATGACTAAAGGCATGGTCAAGGATGTAGTTTCTTGGGAGTGGCTTGAAGGTGAAACGTGAGGTGGAGATGCAGAGAGATATAAAGATGGAAGTCTAGATCTTGAGTTCTATACAACTGAAGACACAACTGTCAATGAAAGAGTTATTAAAAGTTATTAAATTCAAGAGGTCAGAATTAGATGAACACCAATATCTTGGAGGGTTGTGGACTTGAAGCTAATCACAAAGATGGTGAGTGACAAGGCCATGAAAGTGTTTGAAAGCAAGGATGAAAGTTTTAAAGTCAAGAAATGGACTGACTGTGTGCTGCTGCATATAAGCGCAGAAAAGATGTGAATTGGACTTTACTGCAAGTTAAGACTTGCGGGGTAGCATTGGATGATTTCCAGTTTCCTGAGCATAGAGTGTGGTTCAGCCAGGATTGTGTTCAGTCAAATCGAGAGTTAACAATGACATGAATGAGCAGTCCAGCAGCAAATGGGCTACGGTGAGTGAAATTAGGTGTTTTAATGAATAGGAAATGGTAGTCATTCTGAATTTAGAAGCTTATCTTGGTTTTGTATGTGACCCAAAGAATGCAAGCAGGTGGATTTCGCTGAGAAGCGCGTTGGAGTTAGCAGCTAGGGAACAGAGTTTGTATTGAGGACTAAAATAATGGCTTCAGTCTTCGCAATATTTAAATTGAAAACATTTCTGTTCATCTGATACCAAATGCCATATAGTCTGATACACTGTTATGGTGTATCATCATATGAGAGGACCAAAGTTGAAAGTGCTTTGAATGCAGTCCAGCCAAAGCTGAGTGCAAAAGTATAATTACCCACGAACTGCAAACAGGAAGTTGATACCAAGTGTATGATTTAATCTCAGTAGGGCTTATGGAACAGTGATAACAGTACACAAGGAAAAGGGAAATTGCAAACAGAAGACAGGGCAATGGAGCTACAGCATAAGTCACTGTCTTCGCAAAAGAAATGGGTGAAGGAAGCTGTTAAAACTTTTCCTTTTCCTCCACTGAGCTTGAAAATTCATTTCCATAAAATGGAAATGATTGTGATAAACTGGACTTGCATCCTAGAGGCCTGAGAAAAGGATTAAACAAACACATTATAGACTAAGAACCATATTGGTGTACAATTAGGATGATGGCAGGACTACAAATGTGCCTCACTGGGGAAAACATCTCTGTTTAATGATGCAAGTGAGATTGTTTCAGCAGGACAGCTCCATACACACCAGTAATGCTGTTCAGGCAGTGCACACCATGCTGTTTATTAATCACTTTTATAAGAATGTAAGAGTTGGGAGTAGGCCATTCAGCCCGTCAAGCCTCAGCCACATTTAGTA